ACACACCATGTAAATGTCACCATGACACAGGCACTTCACCAGGATACCCTTTTGATGCATAGCCTACTGAGACCTCTGAGTTCTCAGGGGGGCATGCTGTCACAAAAAACACACAAAAGCAAAATGAGCAATTTCCTGAGGCTCTATAGTGTCAACTCTGCATGGCTAGAACAAAACAAGGAAAAATAGATGGTGGAAGACAAGCAATTTGGTAGTTATAAATGATACTGTGACCCTGCTTAGTCTCAATAATACTCCCACAAGGAAATTAGTAAACATCACATTGTTTACAGTTCCATCAAAGCCTGTTGTAAGGTATGTGAATGATGGAAGCCTAAAATGAGACCCAGTGCATGAGTACTTTTCTATTCTGTGGTCTTGACTTTGAACTGATAAACATTTGATTTCTAAAAGTATATATCTCATTCATTCACACACACACACACACACACACACACTCACACACTTTTTTTTTTTAATTTTCAACAATCCTCTGGTCCTTAATTCTGGATCAGCCTACTATATATGTCTGCCTACTATATTCTAGATATATCCATATTAATTCAAGATATAATGCGAACTTATTTTTTTCCTTCTTCTCATTTTATTTATTTTACCTTCCTTTCCCCTTTCCCCCAGGTCCCTTCCCCATTTGAACATTTTCTTCCTATTTCACAATAACTATTAAACATTTTGGTCCTTATTCACACTTTCTGTTTCTCACATCACAGAAACAATACAGCATTTACACATGTGTGTCTCATTTATTTTACTTAAGAGTATGGTCTCATGGTGCCTCCATTTAGTTAGAAGTGGCTCAGGTGTATCCTTCTTTATGCTGAGTAGCACTCCATTGTGTTAAACACACACACACACACACACACACACACACACACACACACACACCTCAAAGATCCCATCTGACACCAGAAAGAATGGCTATTATCAAGAAATCAATCAATAACAAGTTTTGGCAGGACTTTGGGGAAAAGGAACCCTTCTCCGCTGTTGGTGGGAGTGTAGCTTGGTGCAACTACTATGAAATTAGTAGGAGATTCCTTAAAAAAACTAAAACTAGAGGTTCCATGGCCCAGCTATTCCCCTTCTTGGTTTCTTCCCAAAAGAATTAAAAGCATCATACCACAGCGGTATATACAAACCCATGATATATCTATCTCTCTATGTCTATATGTATAGATATATATGTACAGATATAGAGAGATAGAATATATCTTATGAACTACCAGAAATTTGCTCTTATTCTATGCTCTCCATTTCAGAGAATTATAAAGCTGTTTATGAGATTGCCAAAACTATACACTTTTAAATTATTTAATAGCTTCTCTTTTTACCCATTCAAATATTTACTGTCATATTGTACCTAATTCCACCTTTCTGGTAGTTCATAACTGCTTTTAGATTCTACTATCATTACCTTTGTTGACACTCTCATAAACCCCACATACAGAAAGATCTATCTGAATTAGAGCTCCCTCATGCTTTCTGGATGTATGACTTTGAGAAGATATTTTGACTCTGTTTCTTTGCCTATAAAAGTAAAGCGATGTCCAAATAAAGCTGAGGGAATAGATATATTCTTTTAAAAAGATGCCTACATTAAAGAAAGCCTCAATGACTGAGCCTTTTTAAAACGATACATTTAGAAAATTCCTAGAAGGATCCAGGAAAGGAGGATAGGATAGAACAGGAGTGAAAAGAACTAAGTGACATGCACATGTAATAACTCTCACATTTTAATATATGATGTACTTCAAACATATACTAATAAAATATTTTAAAGACAGATATGTGTATGCACACATACATGCATAAAATGGATCTCCACTTTATAAAGTACTTTTCAGCACTACGTGAGATATTCTAAGAAAAATTCAACACCGTGAACACTTCATATATGTTTACTTTAAATACTATGTTTGTATCATCATCTTGATGGTCACGTTTTCATTCTTATGCTCTGATAATCCAGTCTCCCACCTCACCATCAGAATCTAAAATACTAACAGATATCTTTTTTTTTTCTCCAAATCTCTCATTGGTGCTCTTATCCCCGATAGTGGACCTACATTATTGGCTAGAGTCTAACCTAGGTCTTTCATTTCTGTTCTTATTTCTACTGCTTACTGCAAACTCGCTGTGTTAAGGTCAAAGGAAAAAATCTACTATTTCCCTCATCCAACATACTATTTCATACCATATATCCATTCATTACCTTTATCTCAACTTTACAGATTCTCACACGTAGTTTAAAATTCATCTAAATAAATGATACTTCATCTAACCTATTTTGTTGTCCTTCACAGAATTACTTATTTCCACTTGCATTGGAATCTTGTTTCTGTTGTTAGCCACTGCTACTCTGAGTTACTTACCACACATTTGTTGAAAGCTTTGAAGTATTATAAAACTATTATTTAGATACCTACACATTCACACATACACATACTTTATATGTCATGTATTTTAAAAAGCTGTGTTAGTATATTTAATTTTATTCCTGTGCTGATGCCATTTTCTCTTATGCAGGACCTCTGTTGTAAATTAACACATGTTAGGAAAAGGTATTTGTATTGGCTCTCCCAAAAGTACATATTAATTTACCTTAAGATAAGCCACACACTTGGAAAATGCATAAATGATACAAAGCTTTGGTTTGTGAAATGCATACTACGTGATTCGCAGTGTCAGTAACTGTAGTATTGTCCTTGGCTAAATCAGATGTTCTAATGAACTGAGATTTCCAGTCAGTTTAAACTGTAAAAAATAGGACAACATGATTAAGAAAATGGGCACTTTTTTAGAAAATCTAAATTCAAAGTCCAGTCCACCGTTTATTAGCAATATGATCTTCCCTAACGTCCAGCAGGCTGCTTCCCCATAAAATAGAACCAAGGCTGATATGCACATAGAAAGATCATTGGGAGTATTACATTAAGTGATAGGAGTTAAGCTTTAAATCTAAGCTTTATCAAGCATTCAGATTCACAAGACACAAGTATTAGTCACACTTGACATCATCAGGTGTGCTTAGAAACATATGGAACAGGAACCAGAATTTGTCCTAGTGTCAGACGTTCCTCATCTGGTGAAATTTCTCTTAGAAATTCAGGCAGCATATCTCAGATGCAAAAGCATAAGTTTCATAGTAGGTAGTCAGGGAGCTGCCCTGGCTTAAGGAGTTTAATGCTCCGCAGGAGCCAGGATCTCTTTGATCTCTTTGTCACTGCAATCTTCAAGATGCCTAAGATACCAGGCTGTCCCGAGAGTTGCCCAAAGCTGTGTCTGGCTACAAGTATTTATACTTTCCCCGCATCAGGTGAAATTTATCCAAAGGCATCATTTCATCATAAATAATATGACCCGTAACATAGCTGACACATGAGCTTCCATCTGGTGGCCAGAGTATCCATAACTGAAGGCAGTTTACCAACTATCAAATACCTTATAAAAGCTTAAAAAGAGATTGTTACTCCCTTGGAAAAAAACTATGGATTTATTAGAGCATTATATATTATTAATTATAAACTGTTATTAAGTATTAGATAAAGGATAACATATGCTAACATTCATGACAATAATTTCCGGAAGATTATAAAAATCTAAGATGAATGTTATATAAAATTCCTGTAGAATTTTATAACAAAAAACTACAGAGGCTATCATTTGGCATTATTTTGCCTGACTTTTATGGATAAATTCATAAGTGTGAGTGAAAATTTATTCATCATAGAGAAAGTTTTGGTCCATGGCTGGCACTGTATTAATATGCCCTCCACAGTCAGCGCATATCCTTTAAGTAGAAGTGATATTTTGGTCACAGGGAAAATGAAGCGGATGCATAGAGCTCTTTTGCCAGCGCTCTCAGTTGATGTGCTCAGACCTCTCACTTCAGACAAATTGACTTTGATACTTTGAGCTTTAATTCTCTCTTATGAATACAATTTCATGCAAATGCCAGTAGGATTAAGAAGATTGAGTATGACTTGTTATGGTGAAATGGATCTGCCTCTCTCAATGGTTAATCATCACAGATAAATATAGAATCTGAATAATAAGCCACAATTATCAGTGCATTCTCCTCTTTGGAGCAGATCTCACTATCATAGTGACAGTCTGCCCAGACAAACTTACATTATCGGTTATTGAAATTGAGCGAGAGTTCAACTAAGAGTCAACACAAGTACCCCCCCATTCCCAAAATCTCCTCAAGGTGCATGTGCCTTTAGCTTTAGATGTCTGTAATATCATCTTCATCTTCAGATATAGATGTGACTTTGAATCCAACATCGCTCTAATTTAAGTAGAAACAAGTAGATAGACAAGTTTGAACATAAATGGTTCATTAATGAAATACTAGAGGTATGCTTAGTGGATAGCACTATAGTATAAAAATAAATTCATGTATATTTCCAACACTAATTTTCTTAATTAGAATATGCTTATGTATACTATGTATTAAAGTATTAATTGTATTGATGTACTTGAATAAACATGTTATAATTATAAATTGTAACTAAAATTTCAAATGATATTAAATAATGTTAAGGCACATATTAAATTACTTTTTCTACTCAAAATAATACTGAATTTAGCCAGGCATGCTTATTTAAATCACTAAACAAAATGGAAATTTACGTAGGTCAACAGTTCTTGGTTTCTCATTATCTAAATTAAAACAAATCTAGAATGAGTAAAATGAGCAATATGGTAAACTTGACTTCAGCTAATTTTTCTTAAACTCTTTTATTTTCTGATTCCTGTGAATGTTTTAACAACGCTTACAAAAATAGGAGGTAATGAAAATGTTAGCTTTGAGTCTGCTTTTAGACACTGTAAGTGTTAATAAATTTTCAATGAAATTGAAACCACATCTCCAAGTAGAAATAAAAATTTCCACGATGATTTTACTGTAGAGTGTAGAAGATAACATGCTTAACTGCCTGAGAGTCTGTGATGAGAACTTCAATGCTCTTTTGCAGTTTTTGCCAGCAAGAGAAGATGCCAATGACTTTCCAGTCCTGTGTGATCACCAAAGAGTGTCAAGTATCTGAGTGGACGGAATGGAGCCCATGCTCAAAACTGTGCCGTGATGTGGTGTCCCCAACAGGCACTCGTGTTAGGACACGGATCATCCAGCAGTTTCCCGTGGGCAGTGAAAAGGAGTGTCCAGAACTTGAAGAGAGAGAAGCCTGTGTGTCCGAAGGAGAAGGAGTTGCTCTCTGTGCCACGTGAGTAAATCAAAAAGTGAAGTGAGCCCAAATTGCATATTCTTTCAGTATTTAGTATTTCATTTCAACTGAACAGTAAGTAAAAACAGTGATTTGGTTTTTTTTGTTTTGTTTTTTGGTTTTTTCTTTTTGTACTGGGGATTGAACTCGAGCACTCTTGCAAGGGAGGTGGTGGCACCACTGAGCTAAATCCCTGGCCCTATATACATTTTAAGCAGAAAAATAAAATATATCTTTTCAAACTCTACACTAAAAGATAAATACAGATTTTGCAGAATAAAATCTATGCTTCCCAATATCCATCAAGGTTAGAATTTTAGCAGTACTTCTCTGTTAATGTACTTTCTGTAATAACAATTGGCAATTTTTTTTTCTTGAGAGACATACAATAAATACATTAGGTGATGCAGGTCACACATTTTTCTCTTGTAATGATTCAGTGTTATCATTGGCAATATAGACAATAAGTAACCAAATTAGTTTGGCTGTATTCCAATAAAATATTCCTTATGTAAGCAAGAGACAGATTGATTGATACTTAGTTTTTGTAGTTTGTCAATCCCTACTCTATAAAGTAAAACTATCTTTCTAACTATAGATTCCTCTGACCCATTTAAATGTACATAACAAATCCCATTAAATACAATAAAATACTATCCCCCAGAAATGAAACTTTAAAGTCTTTAAAGACAAGAACTGTGTTTATTAATCTTGAGATCTATTGGGAGGTGAGGGGACATATTTAGGTGTTTATTATTTTAGTACCATAATATATAACAAGATCTGGCCTTTAGCAAGTACATAGTAAATATTTTAATTCAGATGAAATTATACTAGTTCAGAAATATTTGGCAGTATAGCACTGCTCTTTATTTTTTTCAGCTTTAATTGAGTTTATCAGCACTGCTCTTTTTGTCCTTAAAAATATTATTTCCAAGACATTACTGTGAGCTATCTTGGCAAACACAATAGTTCAGCTTTATCTGTATACAGAATATGTATAAAACCACTGGGCGAATTTTAGTTTTTCAGTGGTGCATAAACCTTGCAAAAAGCCTCCCTGGAATATGCTACACATTTCAAGAATGTGCACACCATTGGAGCTTCATGAGCCAATGAGAAGGGAAATTAATACTACTACCATTACAACTAAAAAATAACAAAAATAGTAATGATTTATGTGATAGCTTCAATTCTGCAGCTCTTTGAAATTACCCATTGTCGTTCAATATAATAGTGACTGAAAACTCCAGTTTCATTCTTTCTCCACCTGTCCCACTGCCGTTGGCAGTTCCTCCTGATATGGCACACACAAGGAAATTGCTGGGATTTTCAAGCTATTTTTCCCTCTTGTAAATTTCTTCTATTTTTGTCTTAAAGTGCTACAATATTCTTTATCCTCTTATATGCAACCACCATTAACAAATAGATTAATTTTGCTGAGTTTCTTTGCTTCCTTTTATTTTAGGAAGTAGCATTTTTCCCAGAGTATAAAACATACAGTCCTGGAAATCTGTTCTTCTCATAGTACTCCTTAGAGTGACCTAGATTGAAATTCTAGTCTATATTTTTGAAATGATCCTCCTTTTAAGTCCCCTAACAAATGAGTTATTTAACTTTACTTGCCTTCACCCTGTCTTTGCAAACAGGCATCGTTTTCATGTTTCTAGAATTGACCTGAGCATTGCTCTTCCCTTACAAACAGACAGCAAGTGCATTGTTCCTGATGTCCCAGCCCTACAGCTTTGTTAAGCCATACATCTCCACTAATAAAAACAAAGCTGGCATGGATCTCAGCTTCACTATCAAGAAACTTTACCACTTGTAGAGCAAAGCATCAGGTCTGACATCCAAGCACCCCCTTTAACCTTTTTGTCTACTAGGAATAAACACTGACACCCCCATTTATGCCTATGTTGGCTGTTAATCTGATTCCTAAGGAAGCATCTTGGTTCAAGTGGCCCAAAGTGCTACATGAGCTCATTTCTTTGGGCTTTTAGAGTATTCATTTCCTAAAGGTGAAGAAATGCCATCACTATCTCCAGTGGCATCGGGAAATGGCCCCTGGGCTATCTCCTTCAAGCACGTGCTATGGTAACAAACCCCTCACATTTTTTGCACATCATGATCTTGACTGGAGCTCTAATTGCACATCACAGATTGTCTTACCTATGCTCCACTGATCAGAAACATCAGCACTTTCCACCATTTGTCAACATTCTTCAGGAATGCTCAGCACTAAAGACCAGGAGGAACAAATTCTTATTCTTGGCAATAAAGAGAGAACTCTGGATTGTTCTGTTATATCGTCCATCCTAACACACAATTATAATTTTGCTCCAGTGTGAAGAAGCAATTTTCATCCACTTTATTAAAGGAAAAAAGGTTTGGATTCATCACTTAGAATGTTTTCTGTTTTCAGATTCAATCTTCCTTTCAAGTACCAAGAAAGCACAGGCTTGGGTTCAGCTTAATTGAACATAAAATTTCATTTTTTCAGCATTTGCTTTTTCATAAAATATTTACAAATGACAAAATGGAATCATTCTAAATTTAACCCTGTTCTTAATGGGCATTGAAAATAAGCAATGGATTGAAATTAACTCTGCATCCTACTTCTAGTTTATGATGAAGTCCAGAAGAAAACATTATTAAAATAACTTTTAGAACAGAATGTGAGAGAAGAAACATTTCACTCACTAAACATGGTGGCCACTGCCGGCCGTTCCTTAATTTAGGTACGGCTGGAAAACTACGGAGTGGACGGAGTGTCGCGTGGACCCTTTGCTCAGTCAGCAGGACAAGAGGAGAGCCAACCAGACTGCCCTCTGCGGGGGCGGCATCCAGACCCGAGAGGTGTACTGCGTGCAAACCAATGAGAACCTCGTCTCTCACTTACATAGCCACAAGGACAGGGAAGGTACGTTGTGCTATCTGCTAAATGACTTATTCATGGAAAGAGCGTGTAGTGGCTCTGGAAGGATATATGCAGGGCCATTTGGACCATAAAAAAACATATTTCTGACCTTATTATGGTTGATGTGCACCATGGTAAACTTTAATCCACATTATGGTTGTTGAAAAGTTTTTTTCTTTCTGGTTCAAGTCTGCCTCAAAATTTAGCAGGATTAATTATGAAATTAGAATAAAACTGTACACAAGTATATAGTCTAAATTTTTCTTTAGATAAGAAATAAAACCACATAAAATCAATCTCATTTTAAGATGTACTTAAAATAAGTTAGCTATGGTATTGAGTAAAATATTCAATTTGAATCTAAATGAAATAAATCCAGAGTTTAAAAGACTACAATAAGAGGGAGCTCTGGCTGGGGATTTAGCTCAGCGGTGCTGCCACCTGTCTTGTAAGTGCAAGGTCCCAAGTCTGATCCCTGGTACCAACAAAAAAAGGAGCTCTAACCCACATGCGTCAGTTTCTCCCCTTTAATAATTTAATACATATATTTTGGATTTTATTTTATTTTCTGATGTCAGTTTTGGACTCAGATACTGTAAGTATACAATCTAATAATTGAATCTAATATAGCCAAATATCTATCTATCTATCTACCTATCTATAAATAGATAGATAGATAGATAGATAGATAGATTCTTATATGGTAATGTCATTGTTAAATTATTGAATCAAGTGTTCAGTAGACTATTACATCTTAAGTCTACACTAACATGAATACTTTTAGGCAGAGTTTTAAACAACATATGTTCATTGTTGCTAATAAGAGTTCCAAAATGTGTAAAATATAGTGAGGCTATAGAAACATCAATACAGATTTCACATCACGAAATTCCTTAAATCTATTACTATGGCACATGAACAAATCCATTGTTATATTGCGATATAATACACGGTTTCAGCATGGCTGTCAGGGGAATCACAGAAACAGATGCTGTCATAGAGGAGATGGCACTTAAGTGATGGTGAGCACACCACTTACACCTAAGTGGGTGGGGAATGTAAGAGGGAGTTTATTCCAGGTAGAGGGAATGATGTGTGTTAAAGTAGAGCACAAATCTTGCCAATAAAGATAAGCGTCTTCTGTCAGACAAGTTGTGGTTAGGGTAGATTGGAATTTCCTAGGAATTGTGTTGTCTGGGAAAGGAAAAGAATAAAGATCCTAGTTGACACCAGCAAATGAAAGAAGGAAAAAAGAGATTGCTCGTGCAAGAAATCTGAGCAAGAATGGTCAGAAAACCAAATGAAGAACTCCTATTTTTCTACAAAAAGAAGTCTCATTAGTGACCAGAAATTCATGGCCGATAAACACTGAAATTTTGCATTTGCAACTTTCAAAATTTAATTGTTCTGTATCCACTAATTTTACAAAGCATGTCAACTCATTTAGGAATCTAGCCTAAGGATACATTTTACTACTTATGTATATTGAGGCTGTAAGGAAGTAGCATAAAACATGTAATGTTAGTACATTAATATTTTGGGCCACTTTAATGGCTCCATTTTTAACTCTCTTAGGTACGTTTATTACAGCAGTCTTTTCAGAGTAGTATAATTTCATGGGTTGAGCTAGAACAGATTTTAGTTTCTGAATGTCAATTATGTCATAGGTTATTATTTTCAAAGGATCCTTGAGAATTCTGAATTGCAACTGAATTTCTTCAGTCATTTTTTCAGAGTCCTTCTTACCTCTTCCTAACTACTACAAAACACCAAACAATAAAAATCAAACAAAGAAAGGAGCATTAAAAAGAATATCATTATGATATATCTGTTACTGTAAAGCAAATGTCAATAAATGTTAAATGAACCACTTCACATAAAATTAATACTTATTAATATGTAACATGGGTAGTTTAGGAAATTCTTTTATATCATATGCTAAGAATACTAAAGTATTTTATAGTGTTAATGAAAAGGTTGGTTCTCCTTAAAAATTGCAGCTTTTTTTCCCCTCAAAACTTGGAGTACATGAGTACCCTCACCCCTCTCACCAAGAGCACTTAACAATTCCCAATAAGAAACTATTTATTACACCAGCATTCCAGGGCTGACAAGCAAAGGCTATGTGTGCGTGAATGGAAAACAATTACTCTGGGCTGTGCAGACTGTTCATAGTCTATGTTTCTTCAATAAATATGGAAGAGAAGAAGAAGTTCACTTTATGAAGAAGGAGACACCCTGCAAATCAATTCCTCCTATCAATTCTAATAAGAAATTAATTTCAAGAAGGCTTGACTATGTGACCATGAACAACTCACCCTAAGAGCAATTCATATCGTACTTATTTCAAAGAACAAAGTCTACAATGTTCCTTTTTCAGATTGACACTATGTTCTATATATGACCTGTTTCACGTGTAACTGAGGTTTTAAAAATACCTTACCTGAAAATTAAATACTTTAACTCAGAAATAAACTTAACACAAAAAAGACAGCAAGCAATACTAAATTCAAATAAACCATCCTTTATTATCTTGGCAGGTCACTTTGCATAGGGATCGGAGTGACCACATTAGCATAGCACAGCCACATTACTCACATCATTGTTCTGGATGTGCACCATTAACTGCCTCATACCACATTGATGGACCAAGAAAATTCTCTTTCATGGAGTTAGTATATCTAATTTCTAGAACATCAAAATACATCTGATTAAACTACTCACAAAATTATTTTTATAATATTCACAATTTGTCATGCTATTTGTGTCAGTTGAGTTACATCGATAGTATAGTAATTAAGAAAGAAATAGCTTCTATAGACAACAAGAAAAATATATAAACTTGATCTTAGAGTGCATTTACATTTTATTTGTATTCTTCTGCTGGCTGCAAGTAAATCTCACAATTTTGACAATTTCATCCCTACAGTGGCCATAGGGAGGATATCTGTATCAAAGACTTAGAAACCTAATGAAAATATTGTTCATCATCGGATTCATGGATATAGTTTGAGTGTTTTTAAAGCAGTGAAATAAAAGTAGATTTCAGCTATGGTAATTCAAGGAATTCTTCCATTTGGTACAGACTGAAAAGGATTAAATGAGAGAAACTAAAAGTATTGGTTAAAGTCACAAGACTTAAAAGGAAACATTATAAGAAACTTAAGAATATTTTTCTGTAAAAAGCACCTCAAAGGGTCCACGTAAAGCCTGGGCAAGTCCATGGGGTGGGCGTTTTTGAGAAAGACAGCTCTGACAATGAGCCTGAATGATGACACCAAGTCAGATGGGCCAGTAAGATAGATTGGAGGGTCAATGGCAAGACAGATGACACAAGAATAATGTAACTGTGAACATACAAAAGGATGAATGAAAAACATGCGTTTTCCCATGTTCATCAAAGAAATAAGGAGAATAATGTAGTAAAACCATGCCTAAATAGAAGGCAAACTTATTAGGACGGCAATTGTGCATCCACAGTTTGCACAAATCAGCCCACATTAGTCAAAGCTTTTTTTTGAAAAAGCAAAGAAGAAAGGATATGCTTATAGTTCTATCTCCCTGTTATTTCAGAAAGTAAATATCAGAGCACATAGAAGTCTAGTGCTGCACCTTTCCTATCTATCACTTATGAAATAGCAGGTAGGTGAGAATATTTCATATAATATTTCCATCAAAAGTGTGTATCAGAGCATCATGGGAACAGGAGAGAGTCTCTGTATGTTCTCTGTATGTTCTCTGATACACCCCTTAAACCATCTGAAAATAAGAGTGGTTTACTTTTACTCTCTGTGCTCCTACTTGCTAGAAATACATCAAAGTAAGGGCTGTGGATTTAGCTCAGTGGTTCCATCACCTACCTCGCAAGTGTAAGGTCCTGAGTTCAATCCCCGGTACCAAAAGAAAGAAAAAGAAAAAGCAAATACATCAAAGCTATTCCATGAATGATTTCATATTTATTGACTTTCTATAATACCACTATATAGATATAAATTACAGACAAGCATAAAAAGATTTTTAAAATATTGACTTCTGAAACTTTCACTAGGCATTATAGTTATGTAAACAGGTGCATACAATTTTGTTATGAACACTTTTGTGGAGAAATTAATGTAGGTATGAATATTTTTCATAAAATAATTTCTAAGTATTCTGATTTTATTTAGCTAATTTTAAATGTCATGAATAAGAAAGGAACCAAAATACATGATGGCTGCATTTTGGAAACACAGTTCACACTCTATACAATGAGATGTAAAAAACATCATATTACAACTATAGAGCAATTACAAAATAATAAATCCCTGAATGAATCAGATCATTCTTGCAAGTCTGTCCTGCAGATATCATATGGGAGAGAAAGACTGTTACTCCCTGAAATTTCTCTGAGATCAGTGGAATACCAAATGGAAAATGAGATGCCGAAAGGTTCCAGCTATTGGGATAAAAGCTAATAAAACCTCACCTGCTGGGAATTAGATTAATTTAGTGAGTGGTCTACCTAAAGGTAACTGATTTTTTTATTGAAGGCAGAACTTCCTAAAGAAACTTCATGAAGTATTCAAACCAAAAAGGCAATCAAAGAAAAATATGATAAGGGACCTCAAAAATCAACTAAACATTAACACAGTATTTATATGAGTATACTTTTGATTTAGATATTTAATAAGCTTGTGTTGATTGACATATTTATTGATCCTTTTGTAAGATAATACAGTGTTTTTTTTCTTTGCCTGAAAATTACCCCTCAAATGTTTCAAGTACAACCCCACCACCACTTCTAAGATTCTATGTTTTAGGAAGAGACCACATTCACATTGACTGTGACCATCACTTATAAAAAAAGAACTATTCATACCTCTGAATTTGAACAGAGGGTACATCAAATAACAAGTCAAGAGTAATGTATAGTAAACAGTTTGGCTACTCATTAAAGAAAATATTTTTATATTTTATATTGTGAATTTGTATCAGTGCATAATATATCTTTTTTAAAAATTTTC